TAATATGAGAATATAATACAACAAAGACTTGTTAAGTGACTCCTCTATGGCAAACATTGTGTTAGGGAAGGCAAACCAATTAGATAAAACACAGTCCCTTCCCTCAAGAAGCTTATGGTCTAGTTGGAAAATAAGATACCATTCATACATAATTATACAATGTTTTATATATATATATATATATATTATTACATTTGAAATTTATAAACACAGTACTATGAGAAGGCTGAAGAAGGTAACTGGAAGAGAAGAAAAGAGGCTTCCCGAAGGACCTGGCATTGTAGTTGCCTTTTCAAGGAAGGATAGTGATTCAACAGGCAAAAAAGAGGAGGGAGGATCTTCCAAACAGAGAAAGCAGTGTAAGCAAAGGTGCAAGGGCTAGAGAGTACTACACACAATGGAAGAACAAAGGGTAGTTCATTTTCACCAAGATGTAAAGGGTCTACAGGGGAGTGATAGTAGATAACCCAAGAAAAGGAGGTGTGATGACAAATTGTAGCCGACCTCGAATACCAGACAGAAGAGCTGGAACTTTCTTTGATGATCAATAAGGAGCCATTGAGGATTTTTGAGAAGAGGCATGCCCTGATCTCTATAAAAGAAAGATTATTCTTGCCTTGGATTATTTTAGATTAGGGGAATAAAAGCAAAAACATCTTTAGGTAGGCTCCCGCAATAGCCCAGGTGGCTGGTAATGAGGGCCTGTAACTAAGACAAAGGCTGCAGAAATATAGAAAGGGCTAGATTTCAAAGATACTGCCAAAGAAACAGTAGCAGCTTACATTTACCTAGAACCAAAAGGTTTGCAAGGAACTTTCCTCCCACCAACCCTGCAAGGTACAAAGTGCCAATACCCTTGTCTCCGCTTACAAGATGTACCTCCAATGCTTACTACTTGTATGACCTTAGGCAAATCCCTTACATCCCTGGCCATCGGTCTCCTTGTCTGTTAAACGAGAGGGTCAGATTAGATGGCCTCTGGGGTCTCTTGAAGCTCTCCACCTAGTGACTATGATCTTTCCCAACAGTAAGCCCAGTTCTCTGCATTCAGTGGGATGTCATTCGGTTCAATTTAAAGCCAATTGATTTTGGGTTGGATTTGGTCCTTTGTTTGCTCATTTTATATCTCTAATGCTACCAGCTCCTCCATGGTCTGCAGGTGCTTTTGATTCGATTCAATTCAACTGCACTTACTGAGAATCTACAATGTGCCAGACATCATGCTAACCAATATGGAGACTCGTGTGGCTCTGGGATCTCACCAATTGGGATGTTTCCTCCAGCAATACAGGTCACACCCCATCCATGCCCACCTGTCCCATGTCTCTTGTCCGTGTCCTCCTAGAGCTTTGCCATAGGGAACCCACCCAATGCACTGTTTTTTCCTCACATTCTGAGAGTACTCTCACCTCATGATCAGCCTATATGTTCTTCCAACCTTACATTTTCCTAATGATATCTTTTACTCCCTAAAGAGGCAGTGTGGTATAATGAAAAGAGCATAGAGCCAGAAAAGAGTTTAGAGCCAGAAAACCTGGGATGAAATTCTAGTTCTGCTGTGTTGTACCTATATGATCTTAATTTTCTGGACTCGAATTTCCCTCACCTACGAAGGGGGGGGGGGGATCAATGACTTCTTAGTTCTTTTCCAGATCTAAATGGATGATGCTACGATCCTGAGGTAACCATGTGGCAGAGAAGAGTGTTGGACTTGGAGTCAGAAAGATCTGAGTTCAGATCTTGCCTCAGACTCTTCCAATTGTGTGATCTGCTCTCATTATTAGTTTCTTCTTCTGTAAAATAGAGGTTGGACTCAATAGTTTCTAAGGACTCTTTCAGCTCAAAATCTATGGTCCATTGCTCTTTATGTTGCAGCCTGTTCACCATGTCCCCGTGTGACTGTCCATTGTGCTCTCTGTGATGCAGCACTGGGGCTACAAAGACAAAAGTGAAAACAGGCCCTACCCTCAAGAAGCTTGCAGTCTCCATTGCCCATAATGAACAGCTTTTTCCTAAGGTTTTTGTGGAGTTATTTTTCTTCTGGTCCTTTTCTGACCACAGTCAGAGAAAAGCACTGAATATCCTCTCCTTTGCTACAGGGTGTATTGATTAATGAGACTTCCCCAAGGAGAGGGAAGAAAATCTTCCAAACTGGCTGAGAAGTAAGACAGTGGAATCTAAAATGCAAGTTTATCTGGTGGAAAAGAAATCTTCTCCTTGGTTTTCTTTCACCTTTTGGCCTCAGTCCCGTCCATCTGTCCCAAGGCAAGAATATGTTCTGGCTCTGACTTTTATTTGTGCTCATTTTCATCCCTTGGACAAAGCTTTCTAGTCACGACTGAGCCACCTATCCAGTTTCATGGCTAAATTCTGCCCCCTACAGATGATTTCTTTCAGGAATATGATATTAAATGGTATCCAAATATTATTGTTAATATCATGCATTGTTGTTGTTGTTCTTTGTCCTTCAGTCTTAAAGAAGACCATGACATCAGGAAGGTGATGCCATGACTTGCAGGTGAATTGGGTTTAAGTGAAGGAAGGCTGTGCAAAGTCACACATTGATGTGTTAGTTAATAATGTAATACAATATTAAATTATATGATACAATTTATACAAATACAAAATATCAAGTTTTGTAGATTGTTAGAGCTAGAAAAAAGGTCAGCTTGTCTAAACCTCTCATTTATTGATGAAGCAACAGCCCCAGAGAGATGAATTAGCTAAGGTTACACAGAAAGTGGTCCAAGCAGGATTCAAAACAGCTCACAAGGCTCCAGATACAACGATTTTTCCCCCCACTGGACCTTGTTACATCTCCTATACTAGGCTTCTAATTCTCATTGCTGCTGATTTTGAAATTTTCAGCTATTCCAATAGAGAACTGCATAAGCTGCTATCTATAAACCTAGAAAACTATGCTGATTTTCCTTTTTAAAATTTTTAATCTTATTTTATTGATATCTTGTTTTTATATCCCTTCATTTCTGAATATATCCCACCTCCATCCCTTACCCTTTAATTCAGACAAGGCAACAATGTAAAGGATGCTGAACCTGGAGTCAAGAAGACTGGAGTTCAAATCAGCCCCAGATCCTTTCCAGTGTGACCCTGGGCAAGTCAATTTGCCTCTCTGAGACTCAGTTTCCTCAACTGTAAAATGGCATCTACCTCTCAGGGCTTTTGGGAGAAACAAAAAGGATAATACCTGTAAAATGCTTAGTACAGTGCCTGGCACACAGAGTACGCTATAGAAATGCTTATTTACTTCTTACCCTAACACAGATTAAAAAGAGAGATTTTAAAAAGCAATTCAGAAAAACCTACCCGAGAACATATGCAATACGCCATACCCTTCGTCCTTAACTTGGTCATTCTAGTTACCTGGTGTTCAGTCTCATTTTTGTCCTTTCCATTCACATTGTGGTGGTCTCTCTCTATATGTTGTTGTCCTGGTTTCACTTATTTCATTCTGAATCAGTTAATACGAGTCTTTTCATCCTTCTTTAAATTCTTATATGTTCATTTCTTTTGATGGAGAAATATCCCATTATATCTATGTACCACGATGTTTTTAACCATTCCCCCAGTGGATGGCTCTCTGATTTGTTTCCAGGTTTTTGCCACCACAAAAAGGGCTGCTATGAATGGTGGTGTATATGAGACCTTTCTTTGACCTCTTATATAATGCCCAGTAGTGAGACTTCTGGGAAAAAGAGGTATCAGCAAACCCTATTTTTCATGGGAGGTTGCTGTTTCATTGGTGGACAAGAGTCATATAGGATGAGAAGCCACGAAAAGGCCAATATCAGTGAGGTAGAAGAACCCTTAAATGTTTAGGAGGTTCTGCTCCTACTTAACACCAGCTTAGGCAGAAATACTTGCATGGTTTGTGAAGAGCGAGCTAGAAGAAGGGCAATAATATGAAATGGTAAAGAGGAAAAATGGATATTCAAAAGTAGAATGGGATCTTTTAGAGGTAGTGAGCTCCCTGATGTGTTCAAGCAAAGCTGGATAGTGATATATTAGCAATATGGTAGAGAAGAGTCCTGCATTAGGTGGGAAGCTGGACTAGCTGACCTCCTTTCTAACTTCATCATGAACAAAGAAGAAAGGAGACAGAAGGTATGTGTTTAAAAGTTTCTTCTCAGGGGCAGCTAGGTGGCTCAGTGGACAGAGCACTGGCCCTAAAGTCAGGAGTACCTGAGTTCAAATCCAGCCTCAGACCAAACACTTGACACTTCCTAGCTGTGTGACCCTGGGCAAGTCACTTAACCCCAATTGCCTTAAAAAAAAAAGTTTCTTCTCTCCCACAGCCTCCCACATTTCCCATTCCAAAAATGATCTCAGCTATTAGAGGAGAAGGGCACAGCCTTTTACTTAAGCATCAGAAGAGCTCCTAAAAACTTAGGGAAGTAGTTACTATATTTGTCATCAAAGAGTCTAAAAAATGAAAGGGATAGGAATAGCCCTAGCCCTCCCCTTCCCTCTCACATTTCTTCTGGTCCTGCTGTCAGATGGAATACACCTGCCCGTTCTCATAAAGTCCATCTCTTCCACCAAAGCATATATCTAGCCTAACTGCCAGCACTTTATGTTTGTACATGAGGAATCTGTGATTGTTCATCAATGTAAGGAATCCCAGGTTGGGAATAGCTTCAACAAATGCCAATCACCACCCATCTGTAACTTAGTAGATAAATGATGTGGTTGATTGATATTCTGAGGAGTTAAGTAATTTGCCGAATCACGTGGCTAGCGAATGTCAGAAGCAGGATTCAGATCCAGGTCTTCTTGACTCTAAGTCTAACACTGTAGCCAACACCACACATACTATATACCAGGATGCCTGTTTGACTGCATTTTGTGATCATTATTCAATTATTTCACAAAATCTGCATATGCAATCATTACACAGATGCACACGAAAACAGAAATACACATCAGATTTTTGACAATGAATACACACTGTTTAAAATAGAAAAGTTCCCCTTTCTCACCTCTGCTGGTGTGGTGGTACATTTTCCCTTTCCAGAACACTGTATATCATGTGACTTGCTGTCCACTGCCACACAGGTGCTGACCTTCACGACCACAGTCAAGCGCAAAGCCACAATGCATTTACTAACAGAATCATTCACGAAACCTGGGAAGAAAAGAGAAGAATTTTTTTTTCCTTTGAGATAAAGTCAAATAAGCTGTCATACTAACAGGATAGAAAACACCACCAAAGTAGTATTCTGGTCTGGCAAAGATAATGAAATTTTACATAGCAGGTGATCAGCAAATATTATGTTGATTAACGTTTCATTTGGTCATTAACTCTCTGATTTTAAACTATATAATTAAACCCACTCATTGAAGCAGAACACAGCAAGGATTACAGAATTATAGAAACTCAGTGTGTGAAAGGACCTCAACCATCTGGTCCAAGTAATGCCTGACCAAGAATCCCTTCTACAACATACCAAAACTAGGGGCTGTAGACCGTTTGTTTAAAGCCATCTATAACAAAGAGGAAGTCACTATCATTTAAGGCAAGCCATTCTACTACTGGACAGCTCCAACCATTGGGAAGCATTTCCTTTCAAGCCTAAATTTGTCTCTTTGAACTTCTGCCCACTGTTCCCTGCCATTCTGGTGATTGGTGCCAAACACAGCAAAGCTAATCCCTTTTCCATGTGAGAGCACTTCAAATATATTTAAATATATGTTGTCATTTGGTAGTAGCACCGGGGAAAACAACCAGAAGCATTTTCCTGAACTGAGAAAATGTAACTACATCAGTGAAGCCTGATTGTACCACTTTGGTGGATTTCTAATTTTCTCATCAAAAACACTCATTTGTCCACGTACATTTGTTTCCTAATTTCAAAATAATACACTGGTTCATTTTCCCATGTACTGGACAATCAATGTTTAAGACCATGGCACATCCCATCCAATCACCTCGGGTCTCTTCATGCTTAAGAATAACTTGCACAGCCAAACTGACTGCTGGGGCACTAACATGGATCATTAGGCTGGCCAGGATGACAAGCCTAGCTATGCTGCAGCCTGGTCATGGAACACTCCTAGACTGGCCTCTGATGAGACTTGGAAAATGTCTTGTCCCCAATGTAGTTGAGTTACTGCCCAGCAGTGAACGGCGTCACAGCTAATAAGACACGGCTTCTACACTCACTTTACTATGTCATAACTATCCTCCCTTCTCCACTTTGTCAGATTTCTTCCCAAGTTATCCCTGTGAGGAGGCAGGGTTAGATAAAGGGGTCTTTTATTTGTTCATACCACTTCAGTCCATTTTTGGTGGCAAGAGTTCCAGAAATCACAACTGCACCAATTTAACTTGCTTATACAGCATGGGGCACCAACCCAGAACCTGACAGACATGTCATAAACACATTTAACGAAGTCAGTAATGGTTCCGAAGCATTTCCTCTATTTCAATGGGTCCCACTTATCACTCCTTTTAATCCAGAACAGGAGGTCACTACCACACATGTATTAGACCTTGGCAACCTGTCATTTGAGTTTCATTTCACACTGTAATGGAAAAACGCATTGTGAAAAATTTGGTGGAAATTTGAAAAATAAAAATAGTCTTTCCACATATTTTTTCCTTTTTTATTCTTTTAAAAGTATTGCGGGAAAGCAATGCTTGACAGGGGCTCAGTTATTCCACTTCCTATTCCTTAATTGAAATCACAAGCCTGCTGCCTTAATTAGTTGAGGTGAACTAACAACTATTTCTTGCTGGAAACAGGACATCACGAAGCACTAGAAATTAACAAGAACGCCCCATGGGAGGAGTGATCCATCTTTTCAGGTATACTCAGTTGGTTCTGGTCTTTAACTATGTCAATAAATAAAATGGCAAAAGCAAAGAGTAAAACATCAGGACAGTTTTCTCATGACCTGAGAAAGGTCAAACAACCTTTCGGTGGGAAGTGGGGAGATAATTACTCCTTCACAAGGTGAATGAAAGGGACAGTAAGGAAATAAGACCATAAAGGTGTGCCCATTGGTAGAATGGACACACTTGTACCTTGCAGAAATGCCACATTGAACTGAAGACTTCCTGGACAGGAAAGATGGGGAGAGCTGGCTTTTCTACTTCTAAGAGGTTTCTTTTACATGGGAATAATTATCCAAGGTCAGTGCCAAGGGCCACCCAGTTTAGTTCCAAAGAACAATGTCACAAAGGGGACCAAGTTATCATTCCTTACATAAGCTTTCAAAGTCCAAAGGATATTTGGCTAGAAGGGATCATAGAGCCTGGCAAATCTAACCCCTTCATTTTGTAGTTGATAAAATTGAGGCACCATGAGTTTAAATGAGTTGCCCAGGATCACATGGCAAGAAAGTCCCAATTCTAACTCAGGTCGTCCTGATTCCAAGTCCAGAACTCTATCCATTGTGCCCCCTAGCCGCCCCATTCAGTACAGCTAAGCTCCTCTTAGACACTTATGATACCCATATCATCCATAGGTTTACCTAAACCTCTTGCCAATACATTTTTATTTCCTGAAGGCTGTAGTCAGAGAGGAGATTTTCAGACTTTGGGGATGTTCTAGTCCATTCAGAGATGAAACAATTTTGAAAGAGGTTGAGTTCTGGTCTGTGACTTCCCTGGTAAGTGGTTGAAATTGAGTAGAAATGAGGGCACAGGAGATGAGCAGTTCAAAAAACTATGAAGACACAATGTTAGCTGGATCATCCAAATAGACACCAAAGTCTCCAAAGGTGACGGCATGGGAAGGGATGGAGAGGATCATTTAAGCAAGTGCCAAGATCATAGAGAATGGTGGGACAGTGACTAGGAAGCCAGAAGAGAGCAGGGCTAACAATTGGGAAAGCGTGGTATAGATGGGTGGCACAAATGTTAAAGCATCATGGCAGGAAAGGAAATGTCTGGAAGTGGATGTGGAAAGCAAGAAATAGACCAACTTTCCATATGGGCCCTACAATGTGGATTGGCAAGAAGCTGGAGGACAGGTCAAGGAGAGGAATAGGCAACAATCAACCGGTAATGTATAGTCCTCAAGGAAAATCAGCTTTCTGTTCATGGCTATTTCAAAAAAAATCAAATATCAAATCTACTCTCAAAGACAAAGGTCTGCCAACATAGAGTATACCCACAACAGGATAGGAACACAGACTGAGAGATGAAAGGGTCCTTAGAAGCCCTCTAACAAAACCCTGTCATTTTACAGATGAGGGAACAAAAACCCACAGATATTCAGCGATGCCCCAAATCACAAAAGCAGGATTCAAACTCAACACCTCAACTCTAGAATTAGGGTTCTTTTGTTGGTACCAATATGCCCTTCCATTGTACTGTGCAGCCTTTATGAGAATGGGCCATGGTAAATGGAAGTGTGAGCGAAAGTGTAAGAGGTACAAGACACAGGGGAGTTTGCTAATTATGGACAGAGGGTTCTAAAGGAACACAGTAAAAAGGTCAGCCGTGGGACAATAGGAACTGGGATGAAGCATGGGTGGGATGGATACTGGGGAGAGTAATTGGCAGAGCTAATGAAGGATGGTAGAAAGCTAGGATTATTGTCCTGGACCTGGAGTCAGGAAGACCCAAGTTCAAATATGGCCCCAGATACTCACTAGCTATAGATCCTGGGCAGATTCTGTTTCCCTATCTGTAAAATCAGGATTTCACAACAGGATGATAATAGCAGAGTTAATAGCATTCACCAGGGGCAGTTAGGTGGTGCAGTGGATAGAGTACCGGCCCTGAAGTCAGGAGAACCTGAGTTCGAATCCAGCCTCAGACCGAACACTTGACATTTACTAGCTGTGTGACCCTGGGCAAGTCACTTCACCCCAATTGCCAAAAAAAAAAATAGCATTCACCTCTCAGAGATGTTCTGAGGATAAAATGAGATAATATTTGTAAAACGCTTTGTAAACCTTACAGTACCATATAAATGCTAGCTACTGTAATGATGATGATGATGATGATGATGACGATGATGATGATAAGGAGGAGGAGGCATAGTTCAGTTTGTCTTGATACTAAGATACTAAGAAGCTAGGAGGAATTGTAGGATTATAGTAGATTCATTGTAGGATTAGCAGCAGAAGGGGTTATTTTTTAGAGATCAACTAATGTCTCTGATCTTCTATTTTGCATGTTAGGAAACTGAGTCCCAGAGAGGTTAAGGACCAGTCCAAAGTCACAGGGGTAGTCCACAATAGGACAGGATTCAAACTCCAGACCCAGAATTCTTTCCAGTGTGCCACAATTGACCTAGAAGTTGTAAAGAGAGTTTCTTCTTTCACAACTGTGACTAATATGGAAATATTTTTACATGATAGCACATGTATAAACTAGAGTAAACTGCCTACCATTTTCAGAAGAGGGGAGGGGAGGGAGGAAGGAAAGAAAAAAAATTTGGAACTCAAAATCTTGTAAAAATGAATGCTAAAAATTTTCTTAACATGTAACTGGGGGGGAAAATATAAATATTATTAAAACATTAAAAAAATAAACTTACCAATGACCTACAAAACAAAACAAAAAGAAGTTGTAAAAAAAGATAGGCAGAGCCAGCTAAGATGGTTAACAGATGCTTGTACACCCTTCTCTACTTATTTCAACTGTCTGTTTCTCACCATTCTAAATTATATCATTGCTTTAATGTTTGCAAAATACCTTCTGCCTTACAGTGATTAAGATGTACAAAGATTATTATCTTCATTTTATAGATGAGAAAACTGAGGCAGAGAGCGCAAGAGGCTAAGATTTACCAGAGTCACATACCTGATAAGCACGTGAGGTAGGAGGTAAACTCAGCATCCTAGCTCCAAGACCATCATTCTTTCCACTAACCACACTACAAATTCTCAGAGTCTAGCAACCATGACATATAAAGTGTGGCTATAAAGTAATGGAGCCAATTTTTAAAAAATAAAATGCACCAGAAACCATCTGTTATTCTTTAAAATTCACCTGGGAAGAGGCAAAAATTATTCTGATGATTTTGCCACTGTTCAAAACTTTGTTGGAATTCTAGTAAACAACTGCTGTCTCCAGAGCTTGAGAAACGTTGTTACAAAAGTTCAAATCCAAGCTTATAGACTGAGTAACCTTGGACAAGTAACTGTGCCTTTCCGGGCCTCAGTTTC